ACTCAGCGGGTGTTGCATGCATCAGTCCAAAAGAAGTTAAATAAAAAGCGACCATCCATTAAAAAAAGTGTCTCACACGGCTCCGGGGGGTGAACAAAGGCCTCCTGTAGCGAATCGATGCATTTTTGTAAGAAAAATATCCATATTCACTACGTAAAAATCACTTTAATGTAGCTAGTAGACCATTTTTAATATAACTCCGACTGGATTCGTCTGAAAGAAGAAAGTCATATACACCTAGGATGACTTGAGGGTGGGTAATTTATGGGCTAATTTTCATTTTTGGGTGAACTAACCCTTTAAATAGTTAGTTATTTGTTGTAGGATGTATGTTGGACAGGTTAGTGAAGTAAGGGTGTCTAAATGGGCGGTCTTGTCACAGGTGCAAGCTGCCTCCCAACCAATCAAAGTTCCTCAGTTTGTCCGACCAACCAGACAGACAACACGGCCAGCCACTCTACCGCAGGTTTGTTTCCATAGAAACCCTTCACACCCTACTGCCTGGCTGGACTAGTGAAAACCCCTCAGTGCTGACTGTTAGTGTGCATCTATATGTCTTGGTTTTTTTTTTCAACTGCAGGTGTTACTTTTATGTGTGATATTTTCTTCATGCTCCACCTTGTTTTCTTGCACTGGATTTAATTTCTTTGTGCTTGCATAGTGGTGACATTTGCAAACCCTGCTTTGGCTGTTGCTATTGACCCTACAGTAAATTGATCCTTAACCCTGATCTCTCTCCAGCAGTATTTTGTGCTGTTGTATTCTCTGTTGTATATGTTGTTTGTGTGCGCGTGCATATAATGCTAGGGTTGGTTGGTATAAATCCTTCATCATAAGATTTAAAAAAAAATGTTTTTGAAAGAAGTCTCTTATGCCTAACAAGGATGCATTTATTTGATCAAAAACTGGTAAAAACATATTCATTAAAATAACTGATTTCCATATAAAAAAAATAAATGTATTACTTTAATGGCAAAGCTTTAGGTAGTGTATATCTCGTAGAAATATAGTCACTTGGAAATGTATTGAAAAATTGTTCATATTATATTAAATAAATAATAAAAAGTTTTTTATAATTCAGTAATAAATGGTACTTCATCTCGTTTTATTAAACTCGATGGATGCAAACTAAAAGATAAGGATTACAACAAATAATTAAACATTATTATAATTAATTATAATATTATTAAATAATAGACAATAAGTAGACAACTTTTAATTATGTTGGAGTGGAGCTGGTGTTAGTGGTATTGTGGAATAGTATCTTTCTGTAAACTGAAATGTAGATGTGAAAGAGCTGCTGTGTTCAACTGCTGAGTTAAGCATCACTTTTCTGATACCTCAGTCATTTTTTCACTGCTTAGGTCCACCTTTTATTTTCTCCAGTCATTCCACAAATAATTCTTCTCTTTTTCCTGTGTGTGTGTATGTGAGCAGGTCAGGCCAAAACCACCAGTGTCTTTGTCTCCAGCTGCTGGTCAGGTTTCTGTGCACACCTTACAGTCACCGGTGTTACTGAGCACTGCCCTTCCTTCCTCTGGTCACGTCCAGCAGATGCGAATCCTCAATGGCCTGCCCTGCCCCAACAGCTCTAACAACACAAGCATCCTGATCTCCCCATCTACACACATACTACCATCTGCGCAGACACACACACAGCAGTTACCTCACAACAGCCCAAGCTCTGACAACACGGTGAGAGAAATGTATTTAGGTGTACTCTAAAACATTCATTAGTACATAAAACGCTTATTGTATTTTTGCAGTCATGGTGAGCAGGGCCGTATTAACCATTGGGCTAGGCGGGGCATTTATTCTATATTTGACATTTGAACGACACGTGCACTTAGAAGGCTAAGCTTATCATTTAAACGCGTTTTAAGCAGGTTTTAAAACAAATGGTTTAAACTGTTAATGAACATTAAGCAGTGGGGCAGAATTCATTCTGGTAAATGCGTGCATTTACGGTTTCAGCCTGATTCGCGCGGTGCGCACCTGCTCGTATTGTGACTGACTAAACTTTTTGCTCCTTGTGCTTAAACGTTCAAATACACAGTTATGTGTCAAAAATTCTCGTCTTTGCGAGTATCCTCGTAAACAGTGTTATTTGTGTCTTAAATGAGCGTTAATAGTTAAAGATAAAGCATGTGTAGTGTTAGGCTATATGAGATCCTGGATTAGCCTCTATGATGAGATCTTAAAAGGATAGTTCACCCAAAAATGAAGATACTGTCATCATATACTTAAACTCAAATTGTTCTAAACCTCTATGAATTTCTTTGTTCTCCTCAACATAAAAGAAGATATTTAAAAAAATGATTGTAACCACTTTCTGGTCCCCATTGACTCCAATAGTGTTTTTTTTTCCATAAAGTCATGGGGGCCCAACAACTGTCTGATTACCAGTATTGTTCCAAATATAATATTTTGCATTCAACAGCACGAGGAATCTCATACAGGTTTAGAACAACAACAGAATTTTCATTTTTGGGTGAACTATTCCTCTAAAGCAGCCTAATATAGCTGCTGTTGCCATTTGTGTCGATAATGTAAATCAAACATCAGAAAGAAAATCACTTACTGTCCTTGACTGAATCACTTTTGTAAAATAAATAAGAATGAATGGATATTGAATATATACAGTGAAGACCATTCAGTCTATTTTTCAATTTTCTTTATATATCATAATATTATTCAGTGCTTCCAAGTTATTCAAGTAGGCCGATTTCTTATGATCTTTGTTGTATTGTAGCTTAATTTGTAGACTGTTTACTTGTCTTCAGTAAGCTTATTTTTACTTGGGCTAGTATTATTTTTTGTGATATTGAAATTGGTAACAAAAATTATGAAATTTCAGTGCATCAAGAATTTTGATGTGGGATAAAAATCCTATTTAAAGCTTTATATACAGTATATCATTATTGTGATGGGGGGCCCTGCAGTAAGTCATAGCCCCGGGGCCCAGTGCAGTCTTAATGCGGCCCTGATGGTGAGCATAGGAGACTTCTTTCAGAAACATTTAAAACAACTTTACTGACCACAAACTGTTAAATAAACTCTAGTGTATGTATTAATAAATCTTTCTTCCTGCTTCAGATACGTGCAGTGGAATATGGGACAGAGCCAAAGACTTCATTGCTCATCTCTCCAGACACGCCTACACACACTTCACCTCTACTGTCTTTAGATGCGCCATCTTCACCTGCCCCCACCAACACACACACTCCTTCCTCCAAACATCAGGAGAGCCCTCTGGTAAAATACACTTATGTTTACATCACAGTTTATAATGACGATAATGATAAGTATGGTGATGTAAATTATGATGATGATAATGGCACTCATTCTTTCCACAGAAACTGGCCTTCATGTTGTCTCTGGGACTGGTCACGCGCGACTATTTAGAAGGTCAGGAGAAAGAAATGAGTCTGTGTGTGGGTTTGTTTGTGTGCATGCATGTGTATTGACCTTTCGTGCTTTGTTTGTGTAGAGATTCAAAGCAGGCGTCAGGAACGCAAAAGACGAACAACAGCAAATCCAATATATAGCGGAGCCATGTTTGAACCAGAGGTAACAAACACACACATTAAACAAGAGCAGTTCTGTGCAAACTGATTAGAAATATCCAATGGAATGAACCATTATTACATTTACATATCCATGCTTCTGTGTTTCAGCGGAAGAAGAGCTCAGTGTCGTATCTGAGTTCCATAAACCAGTCCAGCAGGAAGAGAGGTGAGCTTTCTGTGCCTATATTAGATACTCTGCTTGCAAAGATCCAAGCGCAGACATCACAGGTTGTTAGAGGTGTTTGCTAAGGCAAGCATCACTGTTGCTTTTGCTCATACTTTAGGGATTTAACTTCTCCTCCATTTGTGCTACTGACATTAACGGGATAGTCACCGAAAAATGAAAATTCTGTCATTATATTGGCGTTCCAAACCTGTAAGACCTTTGTTCATCTTCGGAACACAAACTAAGATATTTTTGATAAAATCCGAGAGCTTTCTGACCCTCCATAGACAGCGATGTAATTACCACATTCAAGGCCCAGAAAGGTAGTAAGGACATTGTTAAAATAGTCCATGTGACATCAGTGGTTCAACCGTAATTTTATGAAGCTACGAGAATCATTTTTGTGCAAAGAAAACAAAAAAAAAAGTCTTTATTCAACAATTTCTTCTCTTCCATGTCAAACTTAGACGCACATTCACAACAGTATTACGATGCATTAATGACAGAATTTTCATTTTTGGGTGAACTATCCCTTTAAAGTCACGATTCAACAGATGGAGCAACAAATCTTTTCTTCCATATTGTAACACATATCCAAGTATAATGGATTATTGAAAATAAAAAAGGCGGAGACTTGGTTCTATGCATTGGTTGTTGATTGGATTGGAGGCAGATCTGATTGAGGGTTTGCAGTAGATTGTAATAAAGGGGTGGAGTTTAAGCAAAAGAGGTCTGACCTTTTTGTCTGTTGAGACTGTTTGATAATGTTCTGTGCTTACAGGCACTCTGCTGTGGAGTGGCCCTGGAGTGTATGTGTGAGGCAGAAAGAAATGACCCTGCAGTGTGTTAAGTGGGGTAATGACTGTCTTCAGGCTGCTGTAAAAGTGTATACATTAGTAAAAGACTCAGACAATGTTCACAGCCTACTTTATAGATTTACAATTAGGCGAGTTGTGCACCTCCTAAAGGTGCGACAATCCTGCATCGTTAGTGTACCATTAGTACTTGTATTGGACAGACTCGAGTACAAAAACTCAAAACGCAACATTACAGTTGACCAAAGTTATCTTTTGATACTTTTGATTTGGCCAGTCTGAAATGTCCACCCAGAAATGAAAGTAGCCATTATTTACGTACCCTTATCATGTTGTTCCAAACATGTATGACTTTCTTTCTTCTGTGGAACACAAAGATATTTTGAAGTAGGGATGTAACGATTACCGGTTTGACAATAAATCATGATAAAATTCCCCACGGTTAGTATTACTGTTTCATCTTTTAATTATCATTGAAACCGTATTAGATTACCGCGATTGACACTATAATCGTGATAAGAAATTTTCATACCGTTACATCCCTATTTTGAAGAATTTTTCAGTTGTTTTTGTCCATATAATGGAAAGTCAGAGATGTCTTAAACAACATTGGACCTCCTGACTTTCAATGTGTGGACAGAAAAAACTGAGACATTCTTCAAAATTTCTTCTTTTAACACGATGGTGAGTAAATGATGACGTGATGAGTTTTCATCTTATGGCAAACTATCCCTGTAAGTTACATCCTGAAAGAACCGAAGCTGTAAGTGGCTTGAGACAAATATCTGTCAGAAAGTGAAGTATGTGAGTATTAATGTGATCAAAGACAGAATCAGAATAGCTTGCCAAATTTATGCTTCTTGATTTTTTTTGGATTAAACAGTTCCTGTCTCAGTTAATTTATTTGTTTGAAGGCTGGTTAAAAGCCTCCTTCTCCAGTAACTTTTCTGTGTTTGTTGAGAAGCTAAAGGAAATATTTCTGTTTATAGATTTCTAACACATTTGGGACCAAGTCTTCTGCCAAGTCATATTATCAGCTATATTGTTTAGTTGTATTTAGATCTTGACTTGGGTCTATGTGTAAAATGATTAGAGCTCACTTAAAAAAAAATATATATATTTTTTTTTTATATGATGTTGAAACTTTGCTACCCTGTGTAATGTAATAGTGCTTTTAGTACTTGTTGATAAAGGACATCCATACTTGTTCTGTTAATGCCCAGTGCACACATAAATGTGCAATATCTGTTGATATATGATGCTGCATATTCACTTAAAGGCTCGTCTTAACATTTGACAGCATCTGTGTTAGCTGTAGATGAAAATAAGCTTCTTGATGCCTGATAAGCTTCTCTGAATCATTGCCCTCTGATCCTTCTTTGTTATTGCCATTTCTTATCCCCATCTGCCTTTATCAGCTGATTTGAGGCCAGCTTTTGCAGAATGTGTTGTTACCCAGCATGCAATGCTTCCTTTTGTAATCTAACGTTGCTCTCTCCCTCCCAAACTCCATCACACCACCCCCACCCACTCCTTCCTGCTACCCTAGCCAATGAGGACAGCTTGTCAGAGGTATGCTACACCAATGTTATTAGTCTTCCTTTTCCTTTTCTTTTCTTTTGTGTTTTGTTTGTCCTTTGTTTCATCTCACCCAGGTCGCCTTTCTAAAAACTGCAGTATTGTGGAGCGGGGGCCCCTCCCCCCAACCACCAGCAGCCATCATTCTTCCTCCCCAGACCTACAGCGGCCCACCGCGGGCAGCCCATTCTCCCTTGCCCTTTCACTCACCCTTCCATCACATTCACCCTCACCCAGCCCCAGCTCAGCAGGGGATGTAAGTAGCTGTGATAGTCCACTACAGTTACTGAGACATGATTCAGACTTCCCTATCCCACTGTTCATCGTGCTCACCAGCGACATCTAGTGGTAGCGGAGGTGAATTAAGGGTCTCAGGTAACTGAGAGATTCATTGCCATTCACTCTCACACTCGTAACTCATTTCATTTTTTGTACCATGTCATGTTTCACTTTTGTCACTGGTCTTACAAAGTAGACAGTCTTTATAGAGTTCTCTTAACTCTTTCAGGTTACATTCTTTCGATATAGAGGCTTTTAATATTAATGGCATTGTAATTTCAGAGCAAAATTGAGGACAAAGAGGCTGCTATTTTACTCAGATCAACCAGAAATGTTCTATTTAAAAACTAGTGCAGTTTAGATTGGAATAGAGACTGTAAGTATGAGGTTTTGATTGACAAGTGAGTATTTAGTGGCTGCTGTAGGCAGCATCTCATATGCGATACTTGCTAATCATCTGGGTGTCACGCAGCTCTGCCTAAAATGCCAAAACCAGAGGCATGAGCCCACAATTCTGCTGCTTAAGACATCTGAAGTAGGGAGAAATTGATGCAGGACCTAATATTTATTCCAAATACTGAAAACCAGAAATGTACATCAAGACTGCTCAAAACTTTGTAAGTTTAGGTAGCCTCATTTCTTTCCACTTCATTTGTTTTCACTACTATGAATTCATTTTCACGTTCATTTTGAGTGTTTATGTTTTTGTGTGTATTGCTTTGAATGCAGCCTGTGAACAGTTGTGTATTTCAGTACCATTCAGTTACATGTTTTCTTCAGATTCTGCAGAAGGAAGATGCCATTGAGTGGCCAGGGACTCTTGCTATTGTCCATTCCTACATCTCCTATAAAGCAGGTTAGGAGTTTCACATATAACTAATGCTTGAACAGTGAACCTGCAATGACAGAATGGTGATGTAAGATTACTTAAAACTATATTTAGAGTTTAAATTGGAACAAAGTCTCTTGTTACAAGTTTCTTATGAAATGCATCAGGATCTTCGGAAAAACTGACTTAATTCTTCAAGTCATAATCCAAACCAACCAGCGCTGAGATGAACCATGATATTGCACACTTTGAGAAAAGCAGAAATAGTATATGACAATCAGGAGAAAATCTTTTTATGAACTACATGAACTGCAATCTTTTGAAGCATTGCAAATTATGTAATCAAATAATAACCGTGGTACAATATACCACTTTAGATGGCAGTGTATTTCACCACCTGGAATTTGGCAGTTAGCCTAAATGACCATTTGTTAGTCCAAAGTTTGAAATTATATTGACCCAAGGCCTGTCCACAGTCAACACCTATTAGAATGTTTGGCATGCAAACTCGGTCCAATTTTCATATGCGATTTGTATGTTCAGACCAATGCAAAACAAAATGGCAGATGAAAATGCAATTTCACACTCTGACAGTAGATAGCACTTAAGGAAAAGCTGAAATACAGCGAGAGACACGGACAGAAGTATAATATGCTATTTGCTTATCAAGATTTTACTTTTTTTAATTCCTGTTTTTCTCCGTATTTGATTTGCTTTTACTATCATACCTCCCTTTAATTATGTTCAAAATGTTGCAAATAAAACAACAAACACAGGCGTTGTAGAAAGTAGCCTACATGAAATATGAAGCTTTGCTTGTAAATATGAACAAACTTTTCAATAGCTCTGACTGATTTTGAATTGTAATATTGGCCACCAGTGGTGGAAAGAGTACTGAAAAAATATTAAAATTAAAATAAGCATGTAACGACCACAAACCGAGGAAAATAGTACTAGTAATAGAGTAAAAGTGATACATCACTTAAAATGTACTCAAGTAAAAGTACACAATTTTTAAACTACTCAAAAAAGTACAATTACTGATAAAAACTACTTAATTACTGTAACGTGAGTATTTGTAATTCGTTACTTCACACCCCTGTTGGCCACCCCTGAAATTGGTCATACCATTTACAGTTGAGTAATTATGCTAGAAAACCCAGCTTTTTCAAGAACATGCATGGAACGAGAGAAAACATAAGTGTCTCAAATGCAAATGCACAGTTCAGTTGAATGATAAAGTTAACCCTCTTCAACTGTAAACTATAGCAACAGTTTGTAATTTTTAATATTAGATATTAATTCTTAAACAACATTAAAAATAGTACTAGTAATAGAGTAAAAGTGATACATCACTTAAAATGTACTCAAGTAAAAGTACACAATTTTTAAACTACTCAAAAAAGTACAATTACTGATAAAAACTACTTAATTACTGTAACGTGAGTATTTGTAATTCGTTACTTCACACCCCTGTTGGCCACCCCTGAAATTGGTCATACCATTTACAGTTGAGTAATTATGCTAGAAAACCCAGCTTTTTCAAGAACATGCATGGAACGAGAGAAAACATAAGTGTCTCAAATGCAAATGCACAGTTCAGTTGAATGATAAAGTTAACCCTCTTCAACTGTAAACTATAGCAACAGTTTGTAATTTTTTTATTTTCATTTTTAATATTAGATATTAATTCTTAATGATACTACATTAATATTATGTAGTATCATTAAGAATTAACATTATCTGACAATGAACATGAGCATATTTATAAATGAAGATCAACCAAGATGGACAAATGTGTGAAAAAGATCCCCAACCCATTCTCTGATCCCCCTGACTGTGCCGACTGTTGGCTCCAACAGAAGCCTCCACAATTGCTTAATAACCTCTGCTCTCAAGGTAGATCTGTTTCAAAAAGGGTTCTACAGAATTGTTAAAAATCAAGTTCTCTGTGGGGAAAATGAATGGGATTTTAACTTCCAGAACCTGACTTTTGCGTTCAGTTGAGATTTAAACATACACTCATTTCCCTACAGCTAAAGAGGGAGAGAAAGATCGTCTGAAGAGATGGAGCACAGAGCTGCGGCAGGAGAGAGAGACACTGGAGCACAGAATCGGACAACTCAGCAACTCTATAACAGTGAGAGAATTCTTAAGCTCACATCCACTTTTGATCTGCGCCATGAGTCATACCACTGAAATTACAAATCTAACTGATGCATTAATTTATTATCCCATACTTCCAGAAGGCCACTATTCCGTAACTATATAATGATGAGATTTTGGTTGCATGATTCAGCAGCACTGTGTCCTCTCTCCCTGCACAGAGATGTATGGACAGCAAGAACAACGTACTGGCCCAGCAGAGAGAGATGGAGGCTTCGCTTGAGAAAATGAGAGGGCTGGTGCATTTGATCAGAGGGATCCAGTTGTCTCCCTTCATCTGCCCTGGGGCCATGGCTAACGGAGAAACCTCCCACAATGGAGCTTCCAAACCCAGCAGCTCCAGTGCGGTCACCACAGACACAAACAACAACACAAATGCCCCAACAAGCTCCTCGGAAGCTACGGTGATAATTAGCACCCTCACAAACACGAGCGATACCTTAAAGCAGATCGCCACGAATAACAACCCAGAGGCTGCATGTGCGAAGAGCGATGAGTGCAGTGAGGAGAGCGCACAAATCAACAGCACGTCCAGAATCAAGAGCGAACCCACAAATGCAAACGCTGTAGCCTTCAGCAATAGCAGCAGCAACCAGGCGGTTCTCAGTACCAACGGAACCGTGTCCACAGGGGAGGAGAATACAAAAAAACACAAAAACAACAGCGACCTCAGCGTCATCCCACAGGCCCTCCTCGGCTCAATCGTACCCCTTACAGAAGTGACAGAGGGGGTGAAATAGCATTGACTACCCCGCCACAGTTGGGGCCTAAAGCGTGCCAGTTAACAGTGTTGTTGTTTCGTGTTGTCGTTTCATCTCTAGTATCTATGAGGGAAAGAAAATCCATAGTGCCATTTACTACATGCAGGAAGGAGGTTCCTAAAGTACCAGCAATGTGTATGCTCACGTATGCACACCGAAAAGATTTCTACAAAGAATAATGATATAGAAAAGAGTAATAAAATTTAAAGATATCACACCATTGTGTGCCTGATACAGTTGCCATAGCACCTCTGAGTGGGAAAGCTTCTGAAGGCTGGATCGGGGTGAAGATCTCGTCCTGCTAGATGAGTAGTTCAGCTTCCTATCAGGTCCTGTAGCTCTGATCTAAGATATAAGATATGACGTGTTGAGGAGTTCAGCGTCTGTTTTGTCTGTGAAACGCAACCGAGGTGCAGTTGTTTCGTCTTGTTTTCAGTTGTTGTGTCTCCAGGACGGAACTTGGAGCGCAAACACAGGTTCTTTATCACACACTGACAGAAATACAGGTCTTCCAGGCGTTCTTCTGGAGGTTTAACTAGTATCATTTGCATTTGTCTATTTTGTGGTGTTTTTAAAAACCGGAACATTTCTGTAAATATATTTTGCTATTTTTTACACATGACCTTATTTATAATTTTCTTCTTTCTTACAAAAATATTCCGTAGTTCTTTTCTGCCAAATAATCGATGCCACAGGGAACTCCTCTTTTACGGTACTCTGAACATTAAATAGATATTTAAGAGTAGTAGAGTAGTATTTGTAGTGTCAGTCCTGAAGTGTCTGTGAGGTAAATTCTGACCATGCCTTATCTACTGAACAGATGTGATTTACTGAGCGCGCGGTTCAGGCGCCGTCACAGAAGGGAATGATCTGAGATGTCTCTTACATCGCTCTCGCTCCATTTCCACATCCAGAGGATTTTTTTGTTTACCCAGACTGTAGCAGGGGTCTCATGCCTTGTCCAACGACTTGGGAGGAATCATGCAGTCAGAAATATCCCATGAAACCGCTATGCCAGTAACGTTATGCTTAGGGGCCAATTTAAGGGCTTCTGTTCTGTATTGTTTTAACACACTATACTACACTGTTCACTGTAAACCTGTCCAAAAGCACAACACGGCAGACGTTATACGTGCCAAGCGCAACTACTTCTACCAGTGTCTCCTAGGGGCTCTTCTGTTATCGCTTTATTTACCATATCGGCGCTCTCTCACCGCTGTGTATTTCACAGTGTGTGACTGCACACAAACAAGCACAGACAAACACAAACACACCAGACCAGTTCTAACACCTGAGATACAGCCGCGGTAGCTTGAACACTGTATCATGTGCCAAGATGACACTTCCATAGTGTATAAAAAAAAAAAAAGCACAAGAAATAATCCAGAAACACGGTGGTGTCAAACACGCTTTTGATAAAAGACAGACATATCTAGTGTTTATATCTTCATTTCAGGTTTGTCAGTGTTTTCAATGCTAAACATGCAGCTCTGGCCTGCTGTAGCCTCTGTGTATTGGTTGCCTTAAGTTCTATAGACTATGTTAGGCTGTTTCAGCGTAGTGTCGGTGTCCTAGAGTCAGTTGTCAGCAAAACGAGTGCGTATTTTTCCCTTTTCGGAAACAGAACCTACTTTATCATCTAGTGTGTGATCATTCAGGTTGTGTTAGTGAGGACAGTGCCTCCGCTGCCTATAGTGAATCTGACCGCTACACATAAGAATACACTCTAAAGTGCTCAAGTCTTATATCAAAACACGAAATAAATTGCTGGTATATTCGTTCACCTTTTTATTAAACAGTTTATGAAAAAACTTTACTTTTAGTTAAAGGATTCCATCCCAGTCTGATGATCCTCATATCGCATCTGCGTTTTCAAAAGTTTTCAACAATCACAGAAGTAGTATTCACACATTTTGTCTGATAGAATCTAATACTAAAACATATTTCATCACAAAATTCCAAAGTGACATGTAGAGAAGCTGCGTTCTGTTTGGTGGTTTAATGGTATGTCAGGTTTTCTAGTGTATTGGAAAAAAGAAAGAAAAGGGAAGACAGCCCTTCCATAAATGCTTATCAGATGTGACATTAGCAAATGTCATCTCTCGTCCTTTAGGGCCAAGAATCCTGAGGCCAGATGTGGTTAGTAGGACTGACAGTGCTTCTGTGACAGATGTTCTCTGATGAGATAGATGGGAATCTACTGTCTCCTCATTCATGTTCCTTACACATGAGAATTGGGTATTGTGTCCTGAAGTGTGTGAAATCTGATCTCCTCCGATATTAATAGTGTTTACCGAGAGCTCAGGCTTTTGTTCATGTTTTCAAGATACGCATAGTAATGCTTATGAAGATTCGCATTCTTACACCTCATGCTGTTACCTCATTCAGGTTGATGAAACCCTCAAGAAAAATCAAGGATAGATTATTGCAACGTGAAAATATCAGTGCTTAATCTAATGTCCTTAACTATAAATTAAGAACACAATTTACATCGATTTGTTGTATAAAAAGCGTCTAGATTCTTTCATAATAGTTTTTAAAAGGGATGTGTATTACTCTTTTGTTTCATTTTACTTTTCTACATTTTGTTTCTTAATCTTGTGTGTTGCCTGATGTCTATTTACCTTTTCTTATAGAAGTCCATGTGCAAGTTATTTGAATATATAACTTTCTTTATTAATTAAGTTCTATTAACTAAATTAAATCAACATTTGGTGTGACCATCCTTTGCCAAAGAATTCAATAATTTTATTGGAAAAACAATATTCCAAAAACCACACCCTACTGGGTGAATTTGACCCCCATTTATGCATTCTAGGGTTAAACGCTTCTGTTAAATGAACCTATATTTGTATTTATTTCATACTATCACTTATAGCTGTGGAGTTATCAGTAAGAGCAAAGCATACTGACCTCAGGTCTGAGGCTAAAGCCTGTCCCTCATCTGTCCTCACCACACGGCCGTTCTCCATGTCGCATTTGTTGGCAACGATGACTGTTGGAATACCTGGAAGACACATATGCACACACAGACACAGAATGATGTGGCTCTGAAGAAGAACAGACTGCCATTAAAATGACAGTACCTGGAGATGGATGGCATAATAAAAGAGTGCAGTGTTGTGATGCTTTCTCTCTCTCTTTCCGCATATCTATCTGTCATTTACAATCTTACACTCACAGGCTGCATTGTACTATATTAAGAGTTCATGCCTGAGGTGAAATCTCTGAACTGAGACCAATTAAGGCAGGCTGAGTCACACTGATGGATAACAGCGCTATTCGCTAGTTGGAGGGGCCATATACATAAACATGACTACTCGCAGTAGCACTAATAGCAGAACAGTCTGATCGAGTCTTAGCCTTACCAAGCGTTTGTTTAACGTGGTCAATCAGTCTCTTCAGGCGCGACACAGCCTCAAAACTGCTGCGATCCGTCACAGAGTATATAATGAGAAACCCATCACCCCATTTAATGGAACTCTCCAGAGAGGACGCCGCAGGACCTACACATTCCTAAAAACAAACAGATCTGTGAGGATAGACGTGATGCACATCTGGACTTTCAAAGATGTGATTCTTAAGGCAATTCTGGAGCACAAGGGATGTAAATGAAATCCACACAACCAAAACCTCCTGCTTCTCAAATGCAGTCATTCTTAATCATGGTCCTCGAGTCGCAGCACTGCACATTTTGGATGTCTCCATTATTTAAAAGCATAGTTTTCCCAAAAATGAAACCCCACTGACTTTCATGGTATATAGACAAAAATAGCCATACAATGTTTCAATGTGCTGACAGAAATTCTTTGTGCTCTGCAGAGGAAAGAAAGCCATACAGGTTTGGAACGGCATGAGGATGACAGAATTGTCATTTTTGGGTGAGCTATCCTTTTAACACACCTGATTTATATCATCAGCGCATTAGTACAGGCTCCAATACCTACACTGGGTGTATCAAAGTCATCCAAAACATCAGAACTGCTATACTGCATTCACACAGATGGTAAAGCTTCAGCCTAATCCTATGAATTAACAAGTGCTGCTCTACTGTGTAACATGATCAATGGCAGGCGGGCTGTTAAAGCCACTCCACCAGCCTGAGATTCAGCACAGCAGACATGAAAGGAATGGAATGGTTCAGAAAGTCCTGTGTCTCATCAGCCGTTTGACAAGGCAAGATCATCCTGCTGTCTTTCTTTGAGTCTGTGGATAACTATGAGTGTAAAACAGCACGGCGGCAGATGCACAGCGACAAAGAGATGAGAGCCAAAATACAGCACAACAGGCTGATGATACACAGGGCAACTTTTTTGAGCAATGTTGCATGGGCACGTTCCCATTGAGAATGGGTAACAAATTTCTATCTGGATATTTTAGATGGGTTGTGGGCCCTGTGTCTCACCTGGTTGCCCGTTGACAGCAATATTTACCAAAGTTGCCCTGTTTATCATCAGCCTAAGATCTCGGCACTCTGTACCTTATTAACAGTGTCTAAAATCTCCAGCTCAATCGCCTCCTTGTCCACAATTTTCTGACATCTGTAGGTGACCTCTAAGAGACACAAAAAGTATATGGCATGTCATATGATGCAGATTACTTGACTACAATGCATTTGCACAAATGTTTAGAGCATGAAAACAGCTTTACAGCAGTTTTGTTTGTATTTAATTTGTGTTACCCCTTTTATGTTCATACTCTCCAATGAAACGTCTGGTGATAAATCTGACACACAGAGCTGGAGTTCAAAAGAGAAAAACAGACAAGTTAGAGTCATCGAGACCAAACAATAGTCATTAAACCTCCCAGAAAACACAGCAGTGTTACCTGTCTTCCCACTGTTATCTCTTCCCAGCACCACGAGCTTCGCCCTCAACATCTTCCGTACAGATTCTGACATGATCACTGTGGATAATATTATATCTGAATATAATAATAACATTCTTAGAGGTAGGCCAAATAAAAGACCGCAGCTACTGTTTGTAACAGGTGCTTTTTCTTGGGTTACGCTTGACTGCATTTCCGCTACGATAAAGATGATAGATAAATGCGGCAGTGCAGTGATGCAACTCTGAGCATAACACAAAGTTAAAATACAAGGCACTGTGTAAAAAACGAAACAAAGTTCCCCAGAAATACTTACTTTGCTCCCCAAAGTTGTTAAAAGTGCGAACAGTGCTTGACTCTATATCATTGTGTTCCAGTGGAGACTCGTGTGGAGCTCATATGCTGCAGACTCTGATGCTCCTGCGCTCTCCGTCTGTCTGCTTTTAGTAATGACATTAGAAATAGCGCGCGCGCACGCACACACACACACACACACACACACACACACTGCGGACAGCACGTCATTGTTCAGCGTGGTCTCTCTTCTTATTACACACATTCATAACCCGGGCTCGACTGCGAGACTCATTAAACGACCAGCTGATTTATCGCCTTTGACAGTTGAGCCTCCGGAGCAGCAGAGACCACTTGCTCTTTCCGCCAACAAAACCATGAATTAAACCGGGCTAAAATTAAAGCTTTATATTTTTGCCCTGTTATATCTTTTACTCAGATTACAGAGCACCAGTAGAGACCTGTGAGAAAGAAACTCCCAGCAGGTAAGCATTACTGATGATCAGTGTTGTGCAAGTTACTTCCAAACTGTAATACATTATAGATTACTTGTTACTGTTATTTAAAAGTAATTCCTTACCTTACAATATTACTGTCTCAGAATTGTAATGCGTTACATGACTCCTGTATTACTTTTGAGTTACTTTCACCAAAATAACTACAGAAGTAGAACTTAACATTCTAAAACGACAAAATGTACTGCAGAGTATTTTATATCCAGTAGAGGGCGATATGGTGTAGCATAATGACTGTGGGCTATCCAGGCTACTAACAATATAGCTATAAATGGCCAAGTGAAGGCTCAAGACAATGCAAGAAAGGATGACAGCCAGAATCACAAACGATCCAAGTCTGTTAAAAGTATGGTAGAGGTAAAGTGATTATCTGGCAATATCTGTGAATAGCAATTGTGTCTATTCATATTTTACACAGCACGACTTTATGTAAACTCTAATGCCATGACAAGATGCGCATACGTCCATCTCGCGCATGTACAGTCTTCTGCCATCTTCACCCATTAGCCGCTTTTCCACTGGCCAGTGCGAGCCGGGGCTTACAGCGAGCCGGGCGGGGCTAATAGCCTCGGACCTCGACCACAGAGAGGCTGAAATCATGCCGCGTTTCCACTGTCGGGCCAGTAGCCTCGCGGCACTCCTGTAAAACCCGCCCTAAACACGCCTTCACTGGACTACGTCACACAATACAAAGTTCCACCAGCGAGGGAGGTGAATGAATTATAATATTGGTTCTTTCCTATAATGTACAGTTGACTGAATGCTCTGTGACCTTTTGCCTGGTTGTTAAAAAGTGCCTTTTGAGGCACCTTTACTTTATATAATGTAATTTATATTACCCCTGGCCCTGTATGTTTTTTTTTTTTTTTTCATTTTGTTTTGTGATTTAGACACCACACGCGGCTAATGACTGACCACGAACAGGAAATAGAACTTATTGAAAAAAAATGTTTTGAACATTAAAGCATGTCAACATATTCTGTTACACCAAATACACCAAATAATGATCTTTAAAAAAGCATCATATGACCCCTTTAATATCTCGCAGTCTTGCTGTTTTTTTCTTTTCTTTGAACAATTCAATTTTAGGCTAAACGTGTGTTGTAACGCATGCGTTACTGAACATGTACCGAGTAAAATATTACTGAAAACTGATTAGTAATGCCCTACACTACTGCGTTACAGCAAAAAGTAATCAGTTACTGTAATGCATTACTTTTGTAACGCGTTACTCCCAACACTGCTGATGATATGAACTAAACTAAATTAACAAATGTGAAAGAAGTTCATAAATAGCAAGAGGTTTGGCTTGTTTGGAAAGTCAGTTGTTCCTGTCGAATTCAAGTTTTGAAACAAATAATGCACATGGCAGAGATATAAACAGACACACATCTACTGTTGAGGTGTAATTTATTGTTTAAATAATTTTACAGGTCTATCAGTTTTCAGTAAAATACTGTATAAAAAACAACGAAATTAAAATGACAGTAACTTGTAATAAAAGACCCTGTCCATTTTCATATCTCATTCCTAAAGTATTTGTAAACACTAATTTAAAAAAAACTCCAGCTTTGCAGTTTTTGTGTTCACAGGACCAATAAAGTGACAAACATCACATTCATAAAGGGATAATTCACCCATCATCATTCACTTAGTCATTCTAAAACTTTGACTTTCTTTTTTCTGTGGAACATTAAGAAGATATTTTGAGAAAAATCTCATAGTTTTTATTTATTCATTTATTTATTTACTTACTTGCTTTACGATGAAATTGCTGGTGACCAAAATATTCTTCAAAATATGATCTTTTATTTTCCACAGAAGAAATATAGTCTTGTTAGTTTGGAACAACCTGAGCTTGAGTAGGCTAAATTATTCAATTATGATTAAGTGACAGAATTGTTTTTTTTTTTCGTGGAATATTCCTTAACAAAATGTTAGCATACAGGAAGACAATAGCATGTGTATCTTTAAAAAAAAATGTAAATGTTGAATTCCGTATTCCATCTTAGCTGAAACTATTTTGGATGAGTTCCTGTCAAACTCTGAGAGCCATCAATATCCTCCCCTGATTGGTCTGTGGCCTCAGTCCTCTCAAAAGTCCAGGCATCAAGGCCAGACTGGAGAGAAATGTTATGTAGCACACAGCAGGCCTGGATGATATGTGAGCATTTCTCTGGGGAATACTGCAGGTAACCTTTTGCCCCATCCAGGCACCGGAAACATGTCTGAATGGCTCTGAATGTGCGGTCCACAATCTCGTGTGTCGTTGTGTGAGCCAGGTTATAGCGGTAGCAGGGGACTCCGGATTCTGCACTGGAGTCATCAGCCACTTTTTTAGAGGGTAACGATTGTCACCTGGAGGCGAAAGACAGAAAACATATTGAAATTTTCACAGGATTCTTTGGCACTGTTAAGAAAAGTCACTACGGCAACCAAACTGTGTGTCTCACCTAAAAGCCAACCTTCGTCATTGTCTTGCTCTTCAAACAGCTTTGCCACACTGGATTGCTTAAAGACAGTTCTATCTGTCAGACTACCTGGCCAATGTGTCTCAGCGCTCAGCAGCAGTCATCTGGCATCGCATACTAATTGGCAATTGATTGAGTGAAATCCTTTTTTATTTACATAGGAAGAGTCATCTGCATTGGGAGCTTTAATGGCTATATGCGCATAGTCCACTACTCCCAAGACATTAGGAATTTCTGCTATTCGGTTAAACTCCTCTTTAGACTGCTGCCTGGTGGCCTCATCCCTAGTGAAGCCGATAAACTCTGGTGCTTTCTCAATCAGAGCTTTAGTGACGTTAGAAACACAATGGCTCATGGAGGCCTGGCTGATGCCGATCGCATCTCCCATCTTGCTCTGGAAGGACCCGGTTGAGTAGAATCCCAGGGCTGCGAGTATCTGAACATCTGAGCTGATGGCTCGGGATCTCTGTGTCCGTCTCAATAAGCTGTCCTTTAGCAGTTCCACTAGGTAATAAATGAACTCACGTGGGAAGCCGAATGTTGTCAGCAGAAATTCATCCGTCACTGTCTCGATATTAAATCGATCAAGTGTTTTGTGCCCCCGGCCATGCAGCAGCAGGTCACAGTCTAGGATAGCAATAGAGATTGCCATTCCACATACTCCGGAGGACCTGTGGGCAAATGGCACATGTGAATGTCAGCTAGTGTCATGTAATGCCATGTCAATAACTAAAACATGATACATCCAAATTTTCACATTTCTGGGCTTCTCAGAAGCAGAAGTCATCATAGTTGGGTAAACTTATATAGTGGTGGATGAAAACTATAGGGGTGTGCCGGTACGAGTATCGGTACCGAACGGTTCACGGGGCAAATTCCAAATGGAAGTCATCATCCCTATCCCCTCGGAGTGGGGACTTTGGAGTGAGCAGGGCACGTGCGTGCCATTATGTAGTCGTTTGGAATGCACTTGGCAAAGGGAGCGACGTAATTTCCTCATTATGTTCAGCTGGCATGTTCCCATGACAATGCAGCATGGTGTCCATCAGCGAATTTTACACCGGCATAAAAAAATATATACATTTTATATTTTAAAAAGTTTTATATATATATTAGTTTTTATCTAAACATACCTGGCAATAAAGCTCATTCTGATTCTGATTCTGAAAAGCCTTATTTTTGTTTTTAGATTGCAATGTTAGAATAAAATGTGATTTTAACCCTTTTTTGCACATAACATAAAGGCTTACATGGTTACATTCACTTTATTTGTTTTCATAGCCTTTAATATGTATTGTACACTCCATACACCATAATGGTAAAGCAAAAAACAGGTTTTTAACATCTTCGCAAATTTATTAAAAATAAAAAACTTAAATGATTCAATTGCGTAAGTATTCATACCCTTATCTGGGACAGCTAAAATTGAGCTCAGGCGCATTCATGTTGCTTGTAGATGTCACTACACTTCGAGTGAAGTTAACCTGTGGTAAATTCAATTGAATGGATATGATCTGGAAAGGCACATACATCTTAATAAAAGGTCTAACAGCTGATAATGCATATCAGAGCAAAAACCAAGCCCTGAGGTCAAAAGAACTGCCTGTAGAGCTCAGAAACAGGTTTGTGTGAAGCCACACATCTGGGGAAGAGTTCAGAAAAAAATTCTGCTTCTTTGAAGGGTCACAGAAGCATGTAGTCTCTGTTACCCTTAATGGAAGAAGTTTGAAACAACCAGGACTCTGCCTAGAGCTGGACATCTGTTCAAACTGAGCAACTGATGGAGAAGGGCTTTGGTT